CCTGGGGATGGATGGGATGGTTGGCATCCGTGGGCTCCCTGCCCACTCGGGGAAGCATTTTACAGCCTTATTTTTTTTTTAATCCACGTGGCTTTTCTGCCCTGGATGCCCCGTTTCCTTAGCCACCTCCCTGTGGTTTGGGTTTTCCAAGGTCTTGCCTACCTAAAACCATCTTTGGGTCCCTCCTAGTGCGGCTGCTCTGGTTTTCATGCCTCTGTCCTGCCTTCATACCAGTTTGCCCAGCCATGGCTTCATGCTTTGATGCATGCCTGTCCCCACAGCCCTGCAGTGTGCAAAGTCTAAATGCAGTCACTGCCTCATGCATCCCTCCTGACTCATGTGAGGAGGAACTGGCAGTTAATCCCTGATAAAAGGAATGAGGCTTCTTGGTGGGATGGAGAAGTGTCTTGACGTAGGCAGGTGGTGATGGTGACCAATTCAATCACAGCTCTCAGAAAAGCCCGGCGGCAGGAGCAGCTAGTCAGCAAGCGGCTTCTGCGGGAGGACACCACAGCAGAGGAGCGTGGACAGGATGGAGCAGAGATTGTGCCGGACCCTCTCTCAGAGGATGAGGTGAAGAGCATGATGTTCTCCATGGTGATGAGGATCCCTGGGGTCTTCCCCAGCCTCTAGGTAGGGGTGGGTTTGAGATTGTTTTCCCAGTGACTGCCAGACACAGTGAGAAACAGTAAGGTTCTTTATGACCACCTTGGTGCCCTGGGTTTCTCTCTCTCCAGGATTAACGGGATGAAATCTTAACCCTGGCCCTGCTTGAAATTCACCCATCTTTTAATTTTTGGATAGGTTCTTGAGCTGCTCAGAGGTGTGCAGAGGGGTTCAGAGGACAGGAGAAGATCACTCAGCCGCCTCCGCTGGGCTCTGCAGAACAAGGACACTCAGCAGAAGTTTGTCAGGTCAGCCCAGGTCTGCCACTGCATGGCTGTTATCAAGGGCAGGTCCAGAGTGGCCCTTTGTTCCAGTCGTTGTGTGGGTGAGCTGGTGTATGGCCACGGGTGGGAAGGCAGGAGGTGACAGCACCCTTTGGGTTCCACCAGGCTGCATGGCAGTATCCAGACACTCATCGGGCTCTTCACCAGCAGCCTGGCTGACATGCAGATGGAGGCAGCCCGCTGTCTCCATGAGCTTTCCCACTCCAATGACCCTGCTGTGGCCGAGGCATGTCTGCCAGTGACCTCCTATCTCCTCACCTACCTCTCAGGACACAGTGTTGAGTTCACGGTAAGATCAGTGCTTGTGTTTGCCAGGGCTCTGGCACCTGATAATCCTTTGGTAGTGGTTGGGTGTTGACCTCTTTTGGCCAGCCTTAGCCAAACATGGCTCACGTAGGAGTGCTGGTGGGGAAGGGGCCCTCTGGAGCAGGACTGTCCCTGGTGCTAGCCCAGGGCAGCAAGGCTTTGTCTGGCCAAGTCTTGGAAATATGGAGACCCCCTTCACTGTGCCCCATCCCAACACCAAGAGGAGTTGCCCAAGAAGGGCAAAGCAGCGAACAGTTGGAGTAGCTCTGGGATGCCCGCGTGGTTTGCCAGCTGATGAGCAGTGCGCCTTGTACAGCACGCTGTGCTCCTTTGAGAAGCAGACAGGATCAGAGCTAAGGAACAAGGTGGGGAGCGATTCCAAGGTGATGATCACATTTTAATGCAGCACACAGTCAGTCTCCAGGAGAATACTGTGGAATTAGAGGGGTCTCAGGGAAATGTCATAGCAATAATTAAAAGCCTGAAAAACCTCCAAAGTAGAAGTGATCAGATCCCACCCTGAGACAGAGAGAAAAATGATAAATTGAAGCTGATACACCTGGGAAGGGGGTAGCTGGAGAGACCATCAGTATTGATCTATGTTTACCCCTCTGAATACAGCTTCTGCCCCACTCAGGGGAAGTGTGTGCCCTAGTCTCAGGGTGCAGGGACCTAGAGGCCTTGCTGGCTGCCCAGGCTGGCCAGGGTCCCGCTGGGGAGTGCAGAGGAGGTGACCTGCTGTCTCGGGCATGTTTCAGGAGCTGTGTTTGTACACGCTGGGGAACCTGGTAGTAGAAAGCAAAGCTGTGAGGAAGCAGCTTCTGCCTCAGGGCATCATTCCAGTGCTGGCATCCTGTATCCAGGTGGGTGAAATAGCTCAGCCACACTCTTCCCCTGCCCCATAAGACACCTTTTCTTATGCCCTTTAGATGCTGGCTGACAGTACTGAGTTACCAGCCCTCCTTGCAGCTGTGGCCACAGGCAGAGACCCCTCTGCAGAGGGCTGTTCCCTTGTAGGTGAGGGTCTCTCATGGGCTCTCCTGCACTCCATTTTCAGGGCTCAAGTCACCACCTTGTGCTCTTCTCCAGTTGAATCTCTCATATCTGTAACTGTGGCTTGCCAATAAACAGTCTGTAACGGGGAGCTGCAGACTTCTCCCCTCTGCATAGCTTAGGTCTAGCAGGCATACAAGGCCAACAGCGTGAATGGGGCTGCTGTTGGCAGATCCAAGTGCCCAAAGCAGCACTGCTGCTGTGTTTGGGCTCCTGCATCCCTACAGCTGCAGCCCATGTGAGTGCAGGGAAGGGGTACAGCTCAGCTTTGGTGTGGCCACAGGTTGCTCTATCACTCCGAATTCCCTGCTGTGCCCCCTCTTCTCCAGGCATGGAGAGACTGTGCTGCTGAGCTGCTTGGTTTGGTGTCACAAAGAGGTGTCGCCCTCTCACCAGCACAGCAGCTGGCACCCTGGGATCCCCCATCTCTGTCATGCGGGATTAGCTTTGTTCTGTTTGATTGCAGTCCCCGCACGAGGCTGTGCTGGAAGGTCTGGGCTACGTCCTCTCGCAGTTCCTCCAAGCCAAGGAAGCCCCCACAGAGATCATACCGTAAGTCTGCACCTCTTAACCCTGCATCGGGATGGGCCCTGGGGCCTGGTGTGGTATCCATGTGCCAGGGACAATGATGCCTTTCCCATCCCAGTGATATTAATAGTTCAGAGCAGAATCCTACCAGAACTATGGAGGTTTTGTGCAGATCAGGGCATGGGGCTTGACTCTTTTCCCTCAGCCTCATCTGAGCAGACAGCTCTGGTATTTCGGTAAAGGACAGTGTTGAGCAGGGTAGGCTTGCAGGGAAATTCTGGTTGTATTCCTGTGAAGGAAAAGATCAGCTTGACAGCCCCCAGTGACAAAAATATCACCCAAACGAAGGTGTCCTGAATGTCCCCAGACCCTGCCACAGACAGGGATAACTTGTGCTGGGTCTTAGTGGTGCCTGAGGCTGCAGCCCTTAGGTAAGAGTCTCTTCCAGGTGTGTTTTTGGAGCATGTGGCCCCCAGTATGGGGGAGAGCAGCTCCCTGCTCAGTGGCCAGGGCTAGCGTCTCCCTGTCAGTTGTCTGTCCTGCTTGTGCTCTGGCCTGTGCCTCCATTAACTCTGCTGTTCTGGCCCCAGCTTGGTTCTGGACTCCGTTCTGCCCCAGCACATGCTTCGACTGGTTTGCTCTGGCCTCAAGGCTGGGACGGGAGCAGCCTTGGAGTTTGCATGGTGTCTCCACTACATCATTTGTAGGTAAACATGCTTTTCTCCTCATTTTGAGTTCCCTGGGGGCAGCCAAACAGAGAGGCACAAAGGCTCAGGCTCCTGTGAGGGGACCTGAATTGCCTCCCCTTTCCCTCAGGAAAGCAATTTCCCTGCCATCCTGGGCATTCATGCTA